CACACACACACACACACACATACACAAAGGGGGTCCGAAATCCCCCGACAGTTGCATGCGCTGGGGGGGGCCGGCCCCCAACCGGGTGCCCTGCCCAGCCAGGCCGCCCGGGCCCTCCCCCGGGCCCCTGCCGGTCACTCAGGCGGCCCGGATCCCCACTCAGCTTTAAACCCCTTTAGCACACCTTTAAAACTAATTTATACCTCCGAGCCGGACAGGCATGAAAATCTTCCTAGTTTTTTTTTATCTTTTCCGGCACTATAGCTGCAAGGGTGGTTCAGCCTCACATTTTTTCTTTGGTCTTGTTCTCATCTTTTCTTTTTGCATAATGTTTTTTTATTTTTGCCATGTTTTTCTTTTCCTTAGGTCAAGCAGGTGCTTTCACTTGCACGGCTCCTGCCCAACAGTTGGACCTAGGCACACGACAAAGCTTTTTTGGGGCCCATCACCCCTGTCTCTGCCAAGCCTCTACCGGGCCTGGGCCGAACAGCCCAGGCCTGGTACTCGTCAACGGTAGGGGTGATGAACTGGTGGTTTAAACAACAAAAGCTTTTTGCCGATGCCGATTTCAGCAGCATGCCAAGTTCTCTTGAAAAGTTTGTGCGGGCACGAAATTGAATCCTTTTGCCTGGTTGCCACCAGCAGTTTCCATCTGCTGGGACGAGCCCCAAACGGGGCGGCGGGTTAACGGCTGCGTTGGAACATAACGCCATCGAAATGAATCAGTGGTTTAAGACTCGAAATCTGTTTGGCCATCATGCCTCACACACTAACTGCGTTGGAACATTCCGCCCAATATGGTATCTTCTCTTCTGCTATGACACGAAGTGATCTATCTGAATGGTCATGTCCAAAGTTTTGGACCTTGCCACTAGTTAGTGTGCAGCGGTCCGCTGTTGACCACGTACGTGGAAGTAGTGGCCCAGCAAACTGGTGCTTTCATTCTCTGTCTCTCGTCCGTGGCTTTTTCCCTGTGGATTTCCTTTCGGGCATAGGCGTAGTCCAGCTGTGAACACGGCTAGATACATCTCAGGGGGAATCATCATCATCACACACACACACACACACACACACACACACACACACACACACACACACACACACACACAC